GGTTTTACATTTAAGTTTTTAAACCATTTTGAATTTTATTTTTGTATATGGCATAATAGAGTGGTCTAGTTTCATTTTTTAAAGAGGCTGTGAATACGCCAATGTATATTTTAACTTCCTTTGTCATACACTAGTTGACTGTATAAGTTAAAGTTTATTTCTGGCTCTGTATTCTGTTCCATTGATCTGTTTTTGTGCCAGTACCATACTGTGTAGATTATTATAGCTTATAGTCTGAGGTTGGGGCATGTAATACATTCCACTTTGGTGTTTTGTTTTGTTTTGTTTTGTTTTGTTTTTTCCTCAAGATTGTTTTGGCTATTTGGGGTCTTTTGTGGTTCCTTATATCCATGTTATATTCCTCCATTTATTTGTGTCCTCTTCAGTTTTCTTCCTCAATGTCATAGTTTTAGAATATAGGTCTTTCATCTTCTTGGTTATGTTTATTCCTGGGTATTTTATTCTTTTTGATGCAATTGTGAATGTTATTGTTTTTATATTTCTCGGTCTGATTGTTCATTATTAGTGTATAGGAAGATGATAGATTTCTATATATTAATTTTGTATCCTGCTACTTTACTGAATTTTTAAATTAATTCTCTTAATTTTTTTGGTGGATTCTTTAGGGTGTTCTATATGTAGTATCATGTCATCTGCAAATAGTGACATATGAAAAAATGCTCAACATCACTAATCATCAAGGAAATGCATATAAAAACCATAATGAGATACCACCTTATGTCAGTCAGAATGGCAATTATCAAAAAGTCAACAAATAACATGTGTTGACAGGATGTTCTTTGGCTTCTCCCTTTCCTATTCTATCCTTACCATTTCTATTTAGTTCCTACCAATTATGTTTCTTAATCACCTGCACCATTTCCTCCTTTTTCCCCCCTTCCCCCTTCCCAGCTGATAACCCTCCAAATGACCCACATACCTACAATTCTCTTCCTGTTCTTGTTGTTTGCTTAGTTTGTTTTTGTTTTTATTTTTTAGATTCAGTTGTTGATAGTTTTCAGTTTGTCATGTTAATGTTCATAGTTTCATCTTCTTCTTTTTCTTAGATATGTCCCTTAAACAGTCATGTAATAATGGCTTGGTGATGATGAACTCCTTTAGCTTTACCATGTCCAGGAAACACTTTATCTGCCCTTCCATTCTAAATGATAGCTTTGCTGGCGAGAGTAATCTAGGTGTAGATCCTTCTTTTCATCACCTTGAATACTTCTTGCCATCCCTTTCTCCCTGAAGTTTCTTTTAAGAAATCAGCTCACAGTCTTATGGGAACTTCTTTGTAGGTAACTGTCTCCTTTTCTCTTGCTGCATGTAAGATTCTCCCTTTATCTTTAACTTTTAGCATTTTAATTTTGATATGCCTTGGTGTGGTCCTCTTTGGGTCCAACTTGATTGGGACTGTCTGTGTTTCCTGGACTTGCATGTCTATTTCTTTTGCCAAAATTAGGGAAGTTTTCTTTCATTATTTTTTCCAATAGATTTCCAATTTCTTGCTCTTTCTCTTCTCCTTCTGGCACCCCTAGGATGCAAATGTTGAACCTCTTGAAGTTGTCCCAGAAGCTGCTTTTAGTAACCTCATTTTTTCGGATTCTTTTTACTTATTGTTGTTGTGATTGGTTGCTTTTTGCTTCCTTATGTTCCAAATCATTGATTTGATTCTTGGCTTCATCCACTCCTTATCACATATATGAAACAAGGCACCCTTCAATTAGTGTATCCTTCATTTCTGACTGGATTTTTTTTATGCTGTTGAGGTCCTCATTAAGTTCCTTGAGCATCCTTAAAACCAGTGTTTTGGACTCTGCTTCTGATAAGATTGCTTATCTCCATTTTGTTCAGCTCTTTTTCTGTATTTTTGACCTGTTCTTTCATTTGGGCCATGTTTCTTTGTCTCCTCATTTTGGCAGCCTCCCTGTGTTTGTTTCTATGCTATTTGGTAGAGGTGCTTTGACTTCCTATCTTGGTAGTATGCCCTAAGGTAGTAGGTGTCCTATAGGGTCCAGTGGCACGGCCTCCTCTATCACCCAAGGTGGGTATTCGAGGTGCACCCTTCATGTGGGCTGAGTACGCCCTCCTCATGTGGTTGAGCCTTGGTTGCTGTTGGCAGGTCTATGGGAGGGATTTACCCAGGTCAGTCAGCTGCAAGGACTGGCTGTGATCACTTACCACCATCCTCTGCCCTCCGTGGAAGATCAGCTGTTCAGGGGCAGGATGGTGGTGCTCCGATGTGATCTGTAGCTGTCCACTGGGTGCACTGGCCCTGGGGTATCCTGGGTAGTGTAGGCCAAGGTCAGCCCCCACCTGTGTTTTGCTCAGGGACACCCTGCTCGAGCTATAAAGCAATCTGAGATGGCTGCTACTTGTGCTGGGCTTGAGATCCATCTTGAGATTCCCACATGACGCTAAGCTGTGAAGCTAGTCTGACTGCTGCTAGTGCCTGGCCTAGAGCTCACTGAGGTCAGCTGTTGCTTGTTTGATAGGATATAGAAAGCTGTGATACAAGAGCCAAGACAAGCCATTCATATGGAAAAGCAGCTTGGGTGGGCCTGCAAGTTGGGTATGGCAGAGTCTCTGGGGATCTCCAAGGTGGGTCAAACAGTGTTATTCAGGTTGATGGGGTTTCAAATATGGTGCCAGTTTGCTGGCTCCATGGCTCTGTGGGGGGAGAGCTCAGCAAAGGGACAGTGGCCTCTGTTCATTCCCATGCCAGACACTTCAGCCTCTCCCAGGATGCCACTGGTGCCCTTCAAGCTGCCACCCTGGCACTAGAGCTCAGAGGGAGTGGGTCTGAGTAGGTGAGTCCATGTGTGGGTTCTGTAATAAGAACTACTTGGGGGCCCCAGCAGTTTCTTCCACCAACTCAATCCCTACTGTTTTTTGCAGGCAGAAACTGTGGGGACTTATCTTCCTGACACTGTAACCCTGGGCTGGGGGGCCTGTTGTGAGGCTAGGACTCCTAGCTCCAGAGATGTCCCTCCTGAATTTTTATCCACCACATGTGGGTGAGAGACCAACCTGTTCCACATCTGCATTCCTCCTACCAGTCCCGATGGATATGGTTTAATTCCATAGTTGTCAGACTTCCATTCAACTCAATTTCTGAGAGTTCTGAGTGATAATTGTCCTATATTTTAGCTGTAATTTTTATGTGGTTGTGCAAAGAGGCAAGCCATGTCTGCCTATACCACCATCTTGACCAGAAGCCACTAATTATTTTAGTCCAAAGGCTTCTTTATGAAAGGATATTTTTTCACCTTTTATAATTAGATGCGATGAAAGAGTTTTGACTATAAATGTTTAACATTCTAATTGAGCAAATTCTATTTACAGAACTTGTAATCAATCCTTGCAGTGTAGAAGTACTGCTTAGGTGACACATAATTTTGACCCTTTGACACCCAGAAGTTTACCATAGAAAATTTCTAGTACTATAGAAATTTTGCCTTAAGCAACAAGTCACAAAATTACCACTTACAACTACTTCAAAAATATGGGTTCTTTTTCTTACAATTAATCCACAAGTAAGTAGTTGCTAGCATTATGGCTCTATATCTCAAAACATCAGAACCAGTATTTGTATAATTCTTTTTTTCTTCCCCGCCTACAAGACTGCCTCTGAAGCTCCAGGAGTCACTTCCGCATTCCAGTCAAGGTCAAGGAAAGAGGGGAGGGGCTGCACCAAATAAAACCTCTCTAAGATGCATCATCTATCCAACCCAGAAAACTTGCACTCATTCCTCATGGGCCAGACTTCAGTGCTGGGGGCCTGGGGAAAAGAGTGTTTGGCTCTGAGCCTCCACAGTGGGAAGTGACAGTGGAGACACTGATTGGTATGACCTCTCGGTGGTCTGTCAGCAGCCACTGAGCATACAGTGTGAAGACATAAGTTTGCTGTTAAGGTTTGGGAATTAGACGAAGTAACTGTATCTACTATGAAGAAAAAAATTTTTAAGTCTCTGGACTATCTGTCAAATTCTAACTAAGGAAAAGACACATTTGATACATTGTCTATCTTAGGACTTAATAGTTAATTAACAGGAGCTTTCAAAACTCAACTTGCCAGTTAGCCGATAGATGATGCCATGCGGAGTGGGCACAGCTGCTCCTCCTCTGCCCTCCCACTGCAATCGCTGACCTAGGCATGCACTGAGATAATCATGGTCACCCCGACCACCTTTGGCGTTGTCCTTCCTACCCTTCCCACAGAAGGACACCAAACAAACTCACAGACCCCAAGGAAAAAGGGTTTGGTTTCCCCACATGGGCATCCGCTGCAAGTAGCAAGTCAGCTGTAATGTTAAAAGCAGCAGTTGGAAAAAATGGCTTAATCTGTCCTATAGTCAGGAGAGTATTAGATTTTTTTCCTGCCTATTATTGTGCTCAGTGCCATAATCAATTAATTAAATTGCCTCGTGTTATTTTGTCCTTTAAAGACAAAAGTACTAATGAGTTAACATAAAATTATTTGGACCTTTTAAAATATCCAAATCACTGAATATAACGAGTTTCTCAGCAGGTCCTGCCTAGACTCTTAACCCTGAAATGTTTACTTTCTTATACATCATTAGACAGGGTGCTCCTATTTGGAAGCAACATGCCCACCTGGTAGACTCAGATTGCCTCTCCCAGGGCCGTGGTTTGGTACGGTGAACCGAACGGGACGAGACACACTGGTAGTAATGGCAGCAAAGTGGTAATATGTACATGTTACATTGAAATGTTAACTGAACAGCACTTGGTTCACTTGAAATTTTTTTTCATAATGTTCCCCATTTCAAAATTTTTAATTACAGAAGTGGAAAAGTCAAAACATGTCAGCTCACCAAAGAAACTATTATCAGTAACCACCGTTAAAATGGAAGAATTGTCAGGAAATGCCCCCGTTCTCCATTTCCCTTCTTCCCTTCCTATGCGGCGGCAGTGACAGCCGTGGAGGGCATTTGAGTCCTTAAAAGAAACTGTCTCTGTGACTGTATTTTTAGAGTTCCAAGCCGAAAGGTTACCAGAAAAGAGACGTGAAGCTTGGAGGCCTCGGACCCGACCTTGAGTCCATCAGAGATAAAGTGAGTGTGACACGCATCCAGTGCTTTCAGGCTTGGATTTGCCCATCTGTCTTGTAGCAAAAATGTATAAGATGCCCCCAGAACCAAGTTCTAATTCAAATGTCTCTGAATAGAGACACTTCTGAGATATCACTGGTAATAGAGACCCAGGCATTTCTCTGATTGAAAAATAAAATTACTCAGCCGATGCTGTTTTATGCGCCCACCTTTTAGTGTTGAAGGCCCGGCACAGAAAAGTAGGGCCTGCGCACTTGAAAAGAGACGTGGGGGTTATACGCTTGTAGGTCTTTCCCAGCAGAGTCATCGTGGTAATTTTGAGCAGCGGCTACAGAGAAGACACTCAGGGTAAGAGTTTCCTGACCCATGAAAAGTGCATCCACTTTATTCTCTTCCCTCAAGAGAAAGCAGATCTCCATTTAATGTGTTTTAACTGCAGTTGCACTCAAGGCATAAAAAGAGAGTCTAGTTCAAAGTTAGAAGCAAAAATGAAAATAAATTGGGTAAATGCAACAAAGAAGAGGCTGGATGTGATTTAGCCAATGTTAAGGGAACACTGGGTGGGCACTGCAGAGCTGTTCTGCCTCAGAGAGAGGCTGCTTCTAGGAGAAACATCACTTAACCGTTTCCCTGCCGTGCCTGAGCACCTGGCGCCCGCTTCCCCGCACTGCTAGGAACGGGGCCTGGCTCACTGAAGGCAGCGCCGCTTTAAATAAAGAGCCCAGAGATCCAGCAGGCCCAGCGAGTCCCTGTAACTGCATTTCTCTGTACAGATGCAGAAATTGATACAGCAAAAGGAATATGCAAAACAGGTTAAGGAGTACAACACGAAGACACTGTCCATTCTGTCAAAGCCACAAACAACAAAAACAGAAAACAAATCCACCGTCTCTCGGCAGAAGGTAAGAAATCTCACTAACGCAGTTACCTTTTCAATTAGAATGAAAAAGAAACCTTCGTTACCTCACGAGGTCATGAATTCTGTCATGGTTTGTGAACACAGGGGACGTTTCGGCTGCCATCTGTCACTGGTTGTAAAAATGATACACACGCCTAGGAGGCTACGAGGTTAGCCTCTTCCTTTTCCTGAAGTTTATTATTATCTTCGTTCCTCTATGTGTTTTATTCTAGTGTAGTAGTCCCAGTGTGTCACACATAAAAATTGAATAGTAAGGTGATTTGTTAGTGAATCGGGATTGGTAGTTTCAGTCAATTTCATTTTCTACCACTGAGTAAATCTTAAAAGAAAGTTAGTGCTTTTGTGCTGTTCATGGTGCCTACGTCAAAGAAAAGCCCTTCATTGTTTCTCTCAAATTCATTCTCCCACATTTTTTCCTAAGGAGTTGTAATATTTAGCTTCCTTTATCCAAGAAAAATGATTTCACAAAATATAGAATTCTCCCTCTCGGTCAGACTCATCCAACTATATAAGTCATGACGTGAAGGAAATTGTTCTGTGGAGACGCGGAGCTCTGCAGAGCAGGTCTCTGCCTCTGTCCCAATAAGGACAAGGGACCCTTTGGTTCTTTAGGAATCAGTACTTCATGTTCTCATTCACGGATCATCGTATTCTTTCTGTTTATTTATTTTTTAGAGAGAGGGGAAGGGAGGGAGAAAAAGAGGGAGAGAAATATCCACGGGCCAGAGAAACACCCACCGGTTGCCTCTCCCATGCTCCCAGCTGGGGGCCTAACCTGCAACCCAGGCCTGTGCTCTGACCTGAGATCAAACTGGCGATCTTTTGGTTCACAGGCTGATAATCAAACCACTGATCCACACCAGCGGGGGCCAGATCAGCATATTTTTTGTTTATTGCCTTTCTTCCACAGACCTTGAAGACCTCAATCCACTTGAGTTTCCATGGTGCCATTTTTAATTTTTTCCTCCAACCCACTATTTTTTCATGACGAGATTCAAGGCAACAAGTCTGTAATTAGAAGTTCATACAGAAGTCACCTACACATAACTGAGAAGTCTGGAGTTGTTCTGTTTTGAGAGTATTTTTTTCCCCTCTACGACCTAAACATACTATCCATTCCTATTTTAGCCATCAAGGAACTCTTATCAAAATATAAAACTGATATAAAGGCAGATTTAGAAATCTTATCTAGTCATCTTATTCTTATTATAACATCTTTCAGAACTGACATCACTCAGAAAAAAAGAACACTGCCTTTTTCAGTATCCAGGTTTATATAGGTGTACTGAAAAAAAGAAAAAGAATGATGTTTAGCCTCTATTACATACTTGCTAGATTTCTAAGAGCCTAGGACAGTTGGTATAGTAATGGAGGCACAGTTTTATATCAACTGCGGTGGTGTCTTTGGCCTTAAGCGGTAATGAGTCCTCTTTGGATAGAAAGGCCTGTTAATATTGCCTTATGAAAAATTTTGTTTTAATAAGATCAAATGTGAAAGAAATCTATTTTCAAACACAAAATAAAATTTTGTTTTATAAAGAAGACACTGAAAGGTATAACTGTATGTACCATTTTCAATTCTTTTTCACAGCTAATTCTTCTGTGGCTAATTTATGTTGTTTAAACTGTACATTATACCACATTATTTGCATTTTCCGTTTGATCTCCATTTCTATCCACATCTTAATACATTATTGTAGCACTAGCCTTCACTTACATTATCAATAAACTAGATTGAATTTAAGGAATCCAGGGCTCACTTCCTATATTTCAAATAAGATTTTCTTTATGCCTCCAGGCTTTGGAATATGCTAAGACCATCCCCAAACCCAAACCTTCACATCTGACTGATCACATGTCAAAGGACAGGAAAATCCCAACCTATGCTGGAAAAGAAGATGCTCTGCCTGGAATCTCACTGCTGGAAATGCTGCAGAGCAGACACGAGAGGGAGAAGCAAGCCGTGGCCGCTTTCAGAGTCCTTCACATTGTCTAGACACATGTGCAGGGACCAAAAGCACCCTGAGAATGGACACGCAGCAGGGAAACTCCACCCAGCCTCTCTGCACTGAGAGCGACGAGCTGTTATCAAAATCAAACTGCAGTCCCTGTTTGCTTTGCATGGGATTTAAAATATGGGGCCCTGTTACATTATGGTACTGTATTTTACTTTCTAGGAAGGAAATCTAAAATTATTTATTTTCAAATCAGAATTTGGGGCTGAGTAAGAACTAGGGAATAAAGCCTTTTGGTTTTATATTGGATCTTTTGATTTCTTAAATAATCTCTACCCTTCCTTAGCATAATGAAAACCTGGAAATTCCCCAGAAACAAGAGAAACTTGTGTTTCTCTCTTTTACATTCCTGATAATAAAAAAAGTATAAACACTTCAGTTTCTGCTAAAATTAACTCAAATTGGACTAATCACCAGTATATTTTGAGATGCCACTTCCAAAATATTTCTGAAGTCTTTAAATTTAGCAAAGGTTTTATATATAAAATCAGAAGAAATGAAGATATACCTAGAGGTGCCTACTCAAGTAGAACAAATCCCAATGTTCTTCCAACAGAGCATCAAGACACTAGTTAGAAATCTTCCAAGTTCAGAAACATCCAACTCAGGCAACTCGGAGAGCTGCACTTTGTCAGGCGACTTACTCCTGACTTCCAGTCAAGATGGCGGCCTAGGTAACACGGTGCTCACCTTCTCCCATGACCACATCAAAATTACAACTAAACTACAGAACAACCATCATCCAGAACCACTTGAAATCTGGCTGAATGTAAGTCCTAAAACTAGGATTTAAAGAAGAAGCCACACTGAGACTGGTACAAGGGGCGGAGCCACAGAGCAGGCTGGTCCCACACCCACGTGTAGTAGATAAAAATCAGAGGGATATCTTGGCTGTAGAAGTGACCCCTGAGGAGTCAGGGGTCCCAGCCCCATACCAGGCCCCCTAGCCCAGGATCCCAGTGCCAGAAAGAGAACCCCCATAATGAATGGCTGTAAAAAGCAGCAAGGATTGTGGCTGGGCGAAAAGGAGGGATTCTGGAATCCCAGACATTCCTCTTAAAGGGCCCGTGCATGGACTTACTTGGACTTATTCCCTCTGAGCTCCAGCACTGGGGCAGCAGCTCAAAAGACACCAGAGGCACACAGGGAGGAACTGATTTTCTGACATCAGGGTGAGAGCTGGGGGGACAGCTTCTTCCCAGACAGACGTGTGGGTGGGCAGGTACCACATATGAGTATGAATCTGGCTCACACTGTTTGCCCTGCTGTGGTGATTTCCTGAGACCTTGCCACACCCAATTTTCCAGCCCATCAAGCTGTTTCCAGTGACTTTCATACAACTGGCCTCTCTTGCCTCATGCTTTAAACTTTACTAAAACAACAACAACAATAAAAAAACAACCTCTCAAACAAGCTGCACCTGGCCTCAGTGTGCCCGAAACCTCAGTGGCCCCAGGCCTGGCACTAACAGCAGCCAGCCTTGGTTTGCAGCTTGATCTCCCCTGGGCACCCCCGAGCCCAGTGCAAGTAGCAGCCATCTGCAGATCACTCCGTAGCTCATGCCGGTGGCCCCAGGCAGGGCACAGGCGGTGGCTGACCTTGCATTTCTCAGGAGGCCCCAGATCCAGTGCATCCAGTGGGCAGCTTCAGACCACAGTCAATTTCAACCCTAACACCTCCATAAGCGACACACTCAAGGGGCAGACTCAGTGAGCACCAGAGTCCCACTGAGAGCAAGTCCTGTGCCATAGGGTCCATTCCTGTAATCACAGCTGGTCCTCAGAGCCAGTGAGCCTAGGGCCAGTCCCTCCCAGTAACACCAACAGCAGTCAAGGCTCACATACAACAGGACAGTGTACAGAGCCCACACACGGGTGCACCTGGAGCATCCAGCTCAGGTGACTGGGGAGGCTGTGCCACTGGGCCGCACAGGGCACCTACTCCATAAGGCCACTCAACCAAATCCAGGAGACGTAGCAGCTCTACCTCATACGTAGAAACAAACACAGAGAGGCAGACAAAACGCAGAGATGAAAAAACAGGTCCCAAATGAAAGAACAGGACAAATCTCCAGAAAAAGAACAATGAAATGGAGGCAAGTAAACTACCAGATACAGAGTTCAAAACAATGGTTATAAGTATACCTAAGGAACTTTGTAAAAACTTCAAGGAAATCAATGAAAACTTTGACAGCAGGAAATAGGGCATAGAAACCATAAAAAGAACCAGACAGAAATGAAGGATACACTAATCGAAATTAAGAATAATTTACAGGGTATCAGCAGTGCAGCAGATGAAGCCAAGAAACAAAGAAAACACCCAAGCAGAATAGGTTATCCATCCATCTATCTATCTATCTATCTATCTACCTACCTACCTACCTACCTATCTATCCACCCATCCTATCTCCAAAAAGGAGCCTCTGGGACAACTTCAATCATACCAATAGTTGCATTATTGCACCTGTTGGGATGTGGAAGGAGATGAGAGAGAAAGCAAAAAATTGAAAACTTATTTGAAAAAATAATGACAGAAAACTTCCCTAACCTGGTGAAGGAAATAGACACACAAGTCCAGAAAACACAAATAGTCCCAAACAAGATGAATCCAAAGACGCCCACTCCAAGACACATCATAATTTAAAAGCAAAAGTTTAAAGACAGAGGATCTTAAAAGCAGCAAGAAAAAAGCAGTTAGCTACATGGGAGCTCCCATAAACTGTCAGCTGACTTCCCACCAGAGACATTTCAGGCCACAAGGGAGTGGCAAGAGACATTCAAAGTGATGAAAAGCAAGAACTTATAACTGAGATTACTTTACACAACAAGGCTATCAATTCGAATAAAAGAATATATAAAAAGCTTCCCAGACAAGAAAAAGCTAAAGGAGTTCATCATCATCAAACCGGTATTACATGTAATGTTAAAGGGTCTTTTTCAACAAGAAGGAAACAAAAAGATAAAAAATATGAGCAATAAGTGGCAATGAATACATGTTGATATCTATCAACAATTGATCCAAAAAGCAAAATAAACAAACAAGCAAAATAGAAACGAAGTTACAGATACAGAGGCCATTTTGTCAGTTGCCAGATGGGAGGGGTGTTGGGAGGTGTGTGAAAAAAGTGAAGGCATTAAGAAGTACAAATTGGTTAAAATTGGTTGTTACAAAATAGTCATGGGGATGTGAAGTACAGCATAAGGAATATAATCAATATAACAACCATGTATAGTGTCAAATGGGTATGAGATTTGTCAGGATGATCACTCAGTAAATTACTTAATGTCTAATCACTGGGGAGTACACCTGAAACCAATATGGTATTGTACATCTGTTGCGGGAAAACAGACTCAGACAGGATTCAGGGAACGGAGTAAGCCTTTATTCACGCACGCGGGCTCAGAGGAGGCAGTCTCCAAATTCTGAGCCCCGAACTGGGTTAGGCCGGAGTTTATAAGCCAAGTGTTGGGCGGGAAAGGGTCGGAATGCTGAAGTAGATCGCACCTGCCAGCGCTTTGCCTGGGGGCTCATTGCAGCGGGCGGCGGTTCCTGGGCTAAGCGAATTCACAGAAGCGAGAGCAGAGCGGTTAATAGCATCGGGCCTTCTGGTTTGGGTTTTTCTTCCCCCCACACATCAACTGTAATTGAAAAATAAAAAATGAATTTAAAAATGTTACTCCAAGTATATAAATTTGCTGGGCATCTTGCCATCACAAATATCTTAAAATATTATCAAATATGTGCTTTTACACAAAGAAATAATATTAGGTAAGACAAAATCATTCCATAGTTTACTACTGAATGTCAGTACTAATAAATGTTTTTACTTTTTAAAATATTTTGAAATTGAATGAACATTATAAAATTCCCAGGTCTTAAAAGAAATCTAGATGATTTAATATTTTTACTTGCTTGTATGATATGGGCATTCCCTCCTTGCATGGCCAGATCCAGAAATGGACAAATTTTAACAATAATCCAAGGCAGATCTATTTATCTACAGAGATGGCATAAGGACTCGCTTTGGAGACTTCCTACGATGTCGTATGCATTTTACATAAGCCATGATGTGATATAAAAGCTGCCTGTATTTAACCTTCTCTTAAAACTGGAAGCAATTAGAATTACAAGCTGCAAAGATAACAAGTATCCGAAGATAAATAGTAAACTGACAAATGATGTTTCTGTGGTATTTGGAAAATCATATCATACATGAGGAGCTAGTTTAGAGAAATCACAGTTCAAATGGCTCCTAAAATATATTTGTAAAAGAAGAGGAACCATCAGCGTACATGGTGAAGGCGTTTCTAAGAAACATTATGTGAAATGATTTTTTATGGCTCCTCTTTAAATTTTTTAAATTTAAACTTTGGAAGATAGAATGATGCTCAGAGACACCTCCATATTAAAGGGACAGGGTAAATATTTCTAAATATTTCATTTCTAGCAGAGTATCTTAAAGTAATTTAGAGCTTAGTGCAGGCTTCTCTTGTTCATGCGTTGATTTTTCAGACAAGGAAGTGGAGATGAAGAAAGAACACAGGACTCAGAAGTCCGCAGTCCTGCTGATGGCAGTGATGGAGCAGCCAGGTCTAAACTCCAACCTTTCAGCGCCAAGGACAGCCTGTTGGATTATCTCTGTATGGGAAGAAGTGGTTCTTCTTTTACTCTGGGGGCAAGGAGCATGCTGTGAAGAGGAATTTTAGTTTTAGACCCGAATTTCCACAATGAAGTTCCATATTCAGAAATATGCATTCCTGTGTACCTTATCATATTTTTAACATGTACAACCTGGCAACTTCATTTCTACACTGATACAATTGTAAGAGACGTGCACAAAGCAACTCAAGATGTTGGCCAATAAAAGAGACACTATTTCCTTTTTTTCTAGAATGTTTAAAAACTATCCCATAACCATTTCTCTGTTAGCCTAAGCATCATTAACTCCCTCTGGCATTTTCACACATACTCTCAAGAACGC